GAGGGCTCTAAAAATGCAAAGTGATGTATGACTGCATTGGAATTCTAAAATTGTCAACTGATGTGCAGGAGATTTTACATACACACACACACATACTTTATATATATATATATATATATACATACACACACAAAAATTTTATATAGCTTAAAAAAGTGATCTATGCCATATAGCAAGCACCTGAAGCTGTGAGAATATCCCTTAAGGAGAAGGGAACACCCAAGATTCATTCATAAATGCTCCTGGTCAAAAGGAACGGCAAAATTCAAAGGGTCCGCAAAAGTTTACAGTTTTATCAGTAAATTACACACTTGGCATGGAAATTGGTATGTTTGTCCCTAACATTCTAGTATAAGCAGACAGCAGTGGGTTTTGGATAAAAGGGTAGGGTGAAAGGGAAGAGAGAGAGAGCTGAATTAAAGAGGGATAGAGAGAAATAAACAAAGAGAGAGAAAAAGAGAGATCACTGGTCCTGGCTCCAGTGCTGATCCAGTGGGGGATGTCCAGGGTCCTGGGGCACACATGCACCTAGGCTTTGTGGCTGGACCTTTATATAGATAAGTTTTCCCCACCCTGGAGATAAGCACCTTGCTTTTTATGCAAATCAGTTATCATGCTAAGTCCACTCTTCTAGACCTTTCTGGAAATGGGTTGGAGGGCTTTGGGGGTCTTTGGTCGTCTTGACCCCTCCCCTACAGTGCACGCCCGCTGCTCAACCTCATTCCTGCGCTTGCACTGTGCTGTGTGACGCTTATCTCCAGAAGTTTGAACCAGGACATTTGTCCCAGAAAAGTGCTCCCTTACCTTCATATGGCCCCCTTCTCCAGGTACATCCTGTTCCTTCTCGCAGTGTATTATTACCAACCATCCTTTGCTGTTGTTACCAACAACCCTTGGTTGGCTCCACGGCTATCCAGCTATCAGTGTTCGAGATATACATATTAGCCCCCTTATCTTTTAGGCTTCTACAGAGAACCCACTCTCAGATTTGGCTACTGATTCTTCTCCTCATGATGTATAGTAACATTACAGAGCCACATGAATGAAAAATGCTTTGTGAGCCTGGACTTTGCAAGAACTCATAAATATGTGAATCCCATCCCATTACACTCATATTTCACTCTGCCCTGTGAAAAATGCTCCTGTGTACTAGGGTGCTCTTATTTCAAGCAGCAACATACTGTACACCTAACTGCTCCTCCTGATAAAACTTAAAGCCTGAATCCTTGCACAGCGCGAAATATAGAATACTAAAATGTTTACAGCTTCCCCCACTCCTTCGTCTTCAAAGGTGAAACTACTGAAAAGTTGGTCATAGTGAGCCTACATCTATGCAGCAGTTGTATTAACTTCTGCTCCTTTCATTTCCTCAAAATGGCATTTAATGCACTAAACACATCCTTGTAAAAGTAAATAAACCTAAGTTATCACAGGAAAACACACACCAAAGCTATTGTTTCATGTATCTCTTCTAGGTGTTTCACAGAACATGCCTAACACCTTAAAATGTAATAATAATCATCCCTACATGTTTCCCAAGAATATAAAAAAAACATAACTAAAATGCAGGGAGGTCAATTTGATATAAACAGTCTTATTAGCATAAGCTAATAATTAGCTCAGCAGTTCCAAGAGTAATAAAACTGGCCCTTTGCAATTTAACTGTGCAACATCAACTACAGCTGAAGAAATTACAGTTCATTAATTTATTTTCTTAAGAAGAAAAGGAGAATACTGCTGTCTCTACCTACGAGCCCATTATGAGGTCAGTGGTGAGAGAAATGGGCAGCTTTCTATCTTTGCACTCTCATCCTCTGCCTTGAGACACCACCTTTTAAATTTGATTGACATGGCAGTAACCTCTACTTTGCAGCAGCATCAGGGAGAAAAAAGGGGGTAGGGGAAAAGAGACTTTATGTTTCAGAAGCGCTCAGGTACAATGGAAATCCATCATCATCATGGCTAGGCTTCGCGAACGAAGATTTAAGAAGGGTTCTACCCACGCTTGCTACAAGCGCGCCGATTTGCCAAGTGACAAAGGACAAATTTTTCAAAGTTGTAGATGTGTCTAAAAGACATACACAGACATTGCCCAAGCAAGATTTCTCAAAGGCACCAACGTGAAATAAAGACAAGATAACTCAGAATTCCAAGTCAGTTATTCTGGCTATTGGTTAATAGTGCACTGCAGCTACTGCACTCAGAGATTATTGTGATCTACTAATTGCACAAATGGATTCTTTACCGACTGTCTCTTCCCCCTATCTGCAGCTTCTTGCCCAACAGTCCACTACCATTCCTGTTTTCCTGTCCAAATTTCTCAACCAACCCTGCCAAATCAGTTCTTACCTTCACACCCTGTGTAAGTACAAGATACACTTCAAGTTTCTGCATATAGGGAAACTGTACAGGTGCTTCAATTACTTGTAAAATCGCATCACTGAATCCAATATCACATTCATTTGTGCACCTGAATTGGCTGCAATGCCGTGCAGAACCACAAGATACATTAACATTTGGTGGCAGAACTCACAAGCCACCTCCACAGGCTCAACTGTGGGACATTGAAAAAAGTCAGTATTTCTTGAAAAAGTACTAAAAAGCTCAGCTGTTCGAACAAGTTCTACATTATTCAGTTTTACAGTAATAATTGAGATAAATAACTATAGTGCCAGAAGCTTTATCTTTCAAAAAAATTCTGAAAGGATTTTAATCCTCTTGTCTGGATTTGTCTGATTATTTTTTTCCCAAATAATAATGTTTATGATCTTTATGAGAATGCTGCTCTTCTGAAGAGTCATGATGCAACAAATCCATAAAGCACCTAAGACTGAAGAAGTTGTTTTGAAAAGACCTCTTCCTCCAGATTCAAGGTGGGCTGACCTAAGCCGCTTTCACTTTTCATCACTGTCCTTATGTCAGCAATAAATGTGCCAAAGTTCACACAAGCCCTCCCTAATCCAATTTAAAATGAGCCGGCTTAAATCACAGTGAGACAATTAGCCACAGGAACTGCTACAGAAAGAATGTATCAGTAATATCTTAAACTACCTCAGCTATTTTAAAATTGGGTTTGTCCACACCTCTGCTTTAGTACAGATGTGCATCATGCTGCCACAGCACTTTTCAGAGGAGATACAGAAGTCATTTTGGTTTGAGTTGCTTCAACAGTATCAGTAAAGTTCATGTAGCACAAAGGGGCAGAGATAAAAATCTGAAAATATTTCAGGCCAAAACCAAGCAGTTTGGTAGCTTACACAGTAACTGTGAAAAACAGAACTGGGTTTGAAAATTTAGAATTAAAAGCAGCCACAACAAACTCATTCTGTTCTTAAAAAATAAAATGTCCAAACAGTTCATTCAAGGAAGAAAATGAACCTCTCTGACTTGTCTGAGACCTCTCTGTCTCAAGTTTCTCTTTTGGTATCTAGTGACTCAGGATAAAATACTTGTTCCACTAATATCTACTTATGGTTCTCAAAAAAACCCTAGGAATATTTCCCCCAGTATTAAAATTCTCAAATTCAGGAACAATAACAGCACAGAGTATGTTTCTCTATTTTGTTGCTGTTATTAATTAAGTCCCATTTACTGTTCCTGAATTGCTGTTATTTAGTTGCACTAGATGGGTGTGTTACAAAGTAATGGAAGACGGATCAACAGCTGTAGTTATTATGAAAATTATGGCAGTACATGAGAGGAATTGCAGCTGCTCAATTCATGCAAATAAGAGCTACTTGACAATGCCTATAATTACACAGTATGTCAAAACAGCATAGCTGGAGTATAAGTAGAGACTACATATTTTAGAAAGCCGAGAGATTTCCATTTCATTATGTTCACATTCCCTAAACTCCTATTTAGGGATAACAAGATACACATTCTGTCAATGGGCTCACAAATACAGAAAGGTCTACTCAGTCTCCCAGGTGCATTTTCCCTGTCAGTGCTGCAGCTGTCAAACACGGAGCCTCTCTGCATGTTTCCCAGGCGTTTGTAATACAGCCTGTACTCACAGTCAGAGCCGGGGTTTCAGCTCACCGTGTGCTGAGTAGATAAGAAGAAAGATCCAGCCACATCTACTTTCAAAGCAAAGTAAGATTACTTCTGAGTGGTTCAGACAGCGCAGATACCATCTCCTCTATTCAAAGACTGTTCCTGATACCTGGGACAGCACTGTAATAACCTAGTTTACTTTGCTTTTGAATGTACCTACTTTCAGCTCGTGCTGGATAATTCCCACTTAAGGCACTAAGGCCCTCTTAAAGAGTACCTTTCCTTTTCTTAAATAAAAACTTCACTAAAAGCTCCTCATTTTCAGAGAGGCTGCCCACAGCGCTTATCCTGTTACATCTGTAGGCTATTTGCGCATTAGCAATGGTTTATATAAAGTGACATTTTATTATTTTAGTTTCTCGCATTCCCGTTCTGTCTCTTTAACTAAAGCCCTTTGTTTTTCGCTAGTTGTTTCATGCTGGCAAATCCCTGCACCTGCATGGCAAAAAACAAGGACCTGTTTTTGCTTTTCCCTGTATCTCAAACTCTTGTTTCAAGAACTGCGCAGCACAAAGTTACATTACAAATAATAAACCCAGAACCCAAACTACCAGATTAATTAGGAGATTTATTTATTTATTTATTACTCATGACATCCACGTAAAGAGACACAGTGAGACACATAATTTTGCAGCCCTCCTACCTATCACTCTTGGGTGAGTTGGACCTACTTGGTGTATAACACAGCCGGTTACTAAAATTCCTTACTGCTCTTGTTTTACTCAGTGATTCAAACTGTATAACCTGGCAGTAAATAATCTTTCTTCTGTACTATCAGGACACGTACTTTCCCATGAAGTCTGCTGACAAAGTCTAGTTCCAAAGCCTTGGAACCCAGGGACACTACTTCTGGTAAAAGTGGTACCTCAAGCTTCCCACATTTCACATGGACAGTCATCAAATCACTGACCCAACATAACAGCTACTCAAATTGTTAGTCTTACCTGAAATCACATGCTGTGGTAAGTTCTGCGCCTCCTCCAAAAGCTTTTCCTTGAACTAGTGCAACACTGATCAAAGGCAACCTACACAAGAGAGTTTTGCAAGCAAAATTCAAGCTTTTAGTCTTTTACAAATTAGAAGGCAATTCAACAAAACCATCTCTACAGTAAAAGTTTCGAAAAATATATTGTTCCAATTCATTCAAATAACAACATCTTTGTGGGCAAGCAGCACAATACCAATTCCACTTATGTCAAAATTACTATTGCATAATTGATATGGAATCCCAAAATGAAACAGCAAAACAGAGATATCAAATGAAATAAAAAAAAAGAAGATCATGTACTGAAAAAATACATGTTATGAAACATATCTGCTACAGACTATACCTAAAAAGACTACCTGCAAGAAGGAGTGACAGGACAGCAACACAAGATTCTACTCTATACCAGTTCACTACAGAAAGCAGTAGAAAGGGACACAAAGAACTGAAGGGCTGGCTTATCTAAAAATAATGACATTTACCATGACAGCATCAGCAGCTTCTTCAGAGTGCTACTATCTCAGTCATCAACAAAACTTTTTTCTTTTTTTTTTTTTTTGAGGACAAAACCACTTGAGGAAAGCAGCAATCTGTTACCTTTGTTGGTGTTGTATTTAATCATGCTCAAGGTATTTAATCATGTTCAAGGTAATTCAAAGGACAGAGGGAAGGAAGAGTATGTTTCCCCACTGCCATTGTGAAATGAATACTAATGAACAGTGACTTAGGATAAGCTAAGTTCCCTAAGAAATGAAGGCAATTGGTTAGTCACAGAATTTGAACGCTGATACAGCTGTTTCACTTTTTAATACAAAGAAACATTTAACTTACTGAGCAGTTTTAAAACCACATTCAAAAGTCAGCTTCCTGATCGTGACCACATGTTTGGTTTTAGTTCTACTTTAACATAAGCACCAACATTTTCTTTTGGCCCAAGTTCACTTAGAAGCTGCACCACACTTCATACAATACATGGCACATGAACACACTGGAAGAGGGCAACCTCATTTTTCCTGTGGTTTATGAGAAACCAGAAGATATGGGTCCAAGATCCCTATATTCACACTTCAATCCATTCAAGGCACCTCTTTCAGGATCACAGTCAGCATCAGCTCTCTCTGAGGGAGACTAATCCCATCTACAACAGATGTCCCCAGACAGCAGCTCACTGCTCCCCCTGAAGCACTGCTTTAAAGTCTGCTAAGTCAACACACCTGAGGTGGGGGGGGGGGATTAATCTTCACACATCTTCCTCCTCTGCTTTGCCCCATCCATTTTGATTATATGGAGACTCAAATGGATTCCAATCCTGAGGATTCCTTACAGTACTACTACTACTATAAGTCTCCTGGGCAGTTTTACAGAAAAAAAAATGTTAATTCATAACACTTTCTCATATAGATTATTTGAAAACAAAGAATATCTGAAAACAAAGAGTATTTATCTTCAAAGAGCTCTCAGTAGAAAAAACACAGACTTTTCCAGTAATGGATTTAATAGATTAAGGGAAGCTAAATTTGACGGAAAGGAAAAAGTGTTTTTCAGAAGTGCCAGATGGTAGAACTGAATACATTCCTCTTATGAAGTGGGAAGATTAAACAGATACATCAAACAAATGTTACCTGTGTAGGCTGCATAAGCTGTCTCTGCTTGTTATTTATGAGCTACTGATTTCCACAGAGTTATAGAAGTCAATTTCAGAAAATTTGAATGCCTAGATTTCCTTAACTCTAGGTATCTCCTACACATAAAAGCCTAGGTGGGTCTTTCCTGTCTGATCTCTGGAAAATCTAACAGTTGCAAATTTTTAAGGTCTAAGATTAATCCATAAATACCTACCCAACTAATACGTGTGAATGCAAGGTCTGGGATTCAAAATTACGTACTTAAAACTATGTATTAAACTTTACACATCTCATTAAAGAGTTAGCTAAAATACATTCCAATACTTATAATTACTTCATAAAGAAGGGTAAATAAAATATATTACCTCATAAGTCTGGTTAAGGTGTTTTGCATAAACATGCACATATTCATCCCGTCCTACAAAGAATA